CAATTTTGTTCTTGACCGTAAGAGCAATAGTCATAGAACGGCTCCAGGACGTGTAATTTTCATCTGTGAGCAAATCGGACACAAGAACAAGACTTGTGTTATCAGAATGATGGATGAAATAAGGACTGGCGTGTTGATCAAAAGGAGACGGAGTTGAAGAGGATGCTGCTGGAATTGCAGAAGTGGCCGGAACACTAGGTGGAACCAGCGGTGGAGGCAAATCAATCGGAGTTGAAGAATCCATCGAGAAAGTTGTGGCGAAGAAGCGGAGTCGTGGCGAGGAAACAAGAAGAGTGGTGGAAAAAACAAGAAAGGTCAAAGAAATGGTGGGACCCGCAAAGAACTCTCACGCAAAAAATTTATCTCTCTGATACCATATTGAAAGCATGAGAGTAAATAAAACTTGCTTATTTTTATTAATGTCAAAGTGGCAGTATTTATAGACTACTGTACAAGCAGTTACCCAAGTTACACAATACAACTGAATTAAGTTAATATACATTGGTAAACTTAAATCCTAATAATTTAAGTTGGGTGGAGCATGAGCCGAGTAGTCTGTGCTGGAGGGAGGAAGAGTTCAGTGGTTTAAGGATGGACTCAGAGTTGAGTAGCGAGTTATACAAAGAGGGCGTGGCTGTAGCAAAGGAACAAATTGTTAAAGGGGAGCTTTCTCATTTACTTCTAGGTCTGCGTTTCAAGTATGGAATTGGAGCCCATCTTTTCAATATTTACAAGTATGGAACTGGACCCCACCCTTTCGATGCCTACAGAGCATTGAGGAGCTTAATTCCCAGTCCATACATGACTTACTACCAAGTAATTCTAGTTATACTATTTCATTTTCTTCACCCTCCACATTTTTTTTTATATTTTTTTAATCTACATTATTATTATTTTTGCTCATGCCCAGACTGGATCTTGCCTAGTAGCTGCCTCTTGTCCCATAATTCTTACCCGTGTCAAAAAGGTAACAAATTCTATTATTAACTCATTCATACCTCCATATATATCTTGATCCCCAAATTATTTTTATTTTTATTAATTAGTTAATTAACAGGGGCGGTACTTAGAACAAATGGTGATCGTGAGTCGACCAATTATAGGTGAAAATCGTGACATGACCAAAGAAGAACCATTTTTATTATGAAAAGTTAAACATGCTCGTTGATTTGGCGATCTTCGAAAGGTAATTATTTCTACTATTTTCTACTTGTTAAAATAATGAATTTTGGATGTTCAAATATATATATATGATGATGTTTGTAGCGTAATTTAATTAGTGATTATTGGCCGTGATGCAGGTTTTAAAAGATGGGTCGATGAAGATAGAAAAGCGGAAGAAAGTAGAAGTAAATCCACATTTAATTCACATAATCTCCACGGTAATTTATTATTAGGAAAAAAAAAACTCTCCCGAACGTGTAGATGACAAAAAGGAATATATATATATATATATTGATTGTTGTAATTGTGATCTGTTGCAGATAAGAGGGGAATTAGTTGAGCATCTAACAAGCTGGGATGTGTTGCAAATTGCATTAGACATTGGAACTGTTATTGGGAGACCCRAGGTTTTTTGATCAATTATTTTTGTTGTTTATATATATATTATCATATACTAGTGGCGTTGACGTTGAATTTATTTATATACGTGAAGATGAAAGCAAGACGAAGCTTATATGGAGGTGGGTTTGGTACATTAAGTTTCAATGGTGATATAGAAATGGCACTCGCTCCATGGACCATCCTAACTCCATCACGTTATTATGGTTGCGAAATGCTGCTTCAAACTAGTGCTCTCATAGTGGCTCAAAGTAGTCCTGACCATGAACACCAGGAATGCCACAACCAAGCTCTTGCTTTGGCTAAGGCCATTGCTTTAGCAGGAGCCAGTTTTGTCGACCCTGATCCCCGATATTAATGATAGAAAATTACTTTGATCCATAAGGGCAAAATTAAAAATTGAATATTTTTTTTTTTACATTTCTCCCTCCTAATTGTCAAATTCCTAATTGTCAAATATTTAGTAGCGACGATAATAAGATTGGGTCTCACCAATAACGAGCTGACTTTTTACACCCCTTAGCTTAATCTTTTCATATGGCTATCTTCTCTTCTCTTTTCGTCTTTTATCACATGTTATAGATGCTTAATTGGAGAACCGAAGTATACTTTTGTAATTTCTCTTTGGGTATTAGAATGAATGTGTTATGGGGAGATAAAAGAAGAATAGACCAAGCGACGGCGACCGAAGGAAATCCGAGAGAAAGCACGAACCAGAAAAGGGGGGGCGGCACCCGATGACTTGGGCCGCCCCTGGCCGACCAGTGGTCAGTGCCGAGCAAGGACCTTTTACAAAATATCTACAGCCTTCCAAAATATCTTTTGCAAAAGTAATAACCGACGAAGATATGATAGACCAATTCTTCWAATAAAAAATCGCATGGAAGCCATCGGGCCTAGGCGATTTGAAAGCACCCGTAGCAAAAATGGCCTTCCAGACCTCCTCACCCGACAAAGCACGAGTTAGAACACTTTCGGCTATCAACGGAAGAGGCGGGAAGAAATATATGAAAATAGGAGGAAGAAAACTGTAAAAGCACAAGAATAACGACACAACAAAGAGGGCTACTCACGATTAAATCCTTTTCTCCTGTTTTGGCTCCATAATCCAGGAAGGAAGTTAAAGTATTCAAACAGTTGGTTATGCAATCCCATAAATCGACTGAAAATGGTTAAAAGCTATACCTTTCAGCCACCCAACATCGGATGGATATCCATTCATCATTCGGCCCCTTTGATAATAGCCCTCTTATGAAAATAGGTAGTATTACGATCCCCGAAACGAACCCAACCACAGTGAGCACGCTGAATCCAGGAGAGCTCCTCTGGAGGATATTATCTAGATCCAAGGTCAGGTCATTTTCAAGTCTCAAGCTTGTTGAATACCTGCAAGCCGACGTAGAATGAGACTCTTATGCTTCCGAAGACTGCCAAAAACATCCTTGTGCCAAACTAAAATTTTCCCTTTAAAATCAGCAAGACACGAAGGGGGAGGATCAGAAGGGTGCCAAGATTTCCTAAGGAACGAATGGAAATTCTGATGCAAGTTCCAAGCAGCCAAGAAATTGAACGAATGAGAAACCACTAAAGAGCCACAGGAAGGGGCATAGTTCAAAATAATAGGGTGGTGGTCTGAGAGCACCATCGGCAGCACACGAACTGACGTATCAAGAAAAGCCAACTGCCAATGYGAATTTGCCAACGCTCGATCAAGCCGTTCAAAGACACGATCAAACCCAGCAATCAAGGGACCCTTCCAAGTAAACTTAGGCCCAGAACTTCCTAAATCGATAAGCTGACAGTGATCAATAGTAGTCAAAAAAGGAGTAGCGTCCATTGGGCTCAAGGGAGCTCTGCCATCCTTTTCATCAGCCGAAGCAATGACATTAAAGTCTCCAATCAAAAGCCAAGGACTCTGATTGGTTGGCACCATGGATTTAAGAAACGGCCAAAGCTCACGTTTAGAGCTGCGTTGGGGGCTACCATAGACAGTAGTAAAGAAACCCGATAAGGCCTCCTGATCAAAACGGAAATGAATAGCCTGCTGATTCCAAGCAACCTCCATTAGAGAAACTCGATCAAGCTTCCAAAAAACCCAAATACCACCTTTTAAATGGTCAGCTTCAACTCGAACCCACGAAAAATGGGGGAAACTACGACAAACCGAATCAGCAATAGGACCACTTATCTTAGGCTCCACAATAACCATAATATCAGGCTTATGCAGAAGAATAAAGTCACGAAGAACTTATTTAAAGCAAGGCCTCCGTGTACCTCTACAATTCCAGGAAAAAATAATCATTAAAACAACAAAAATGAGGGGGGTTGACAGAAGAACCTGCATCAACATGAAAAATCCACAGGCATCCCAACCAGAGCCACCCCATCCATACCCATTGGCGAAACCTCAATACCGACTACAGCGTCCCTAATCGGAGATACTGAACCACGAAGACACTCCAAAACAGGAGGAAGAAGGGATGGGTTCGACGGATCTTTTAAAGAAACGGACGGCCAGCCATCGAAAAAGTCTGCATTCGGGTCAACCTCCAAACCCGCCATCGAAGTCGGGTACTGTAGAGCTCGAGAAGCTTCCTCTTCAGAATTCCGAGAGAAGCTGACAAAACAAAAGAAGATCCCAGAAGAACGGGTTCCTTAGCGGTAAAAAGATTGAGAAGGATGGGTATTCTCTTTCCCCACAGGATTCATGGGCCTTATAATCAAGATTGGGCCCGTTCCCATAAGTTGTGGCCCAATCCGATTAGATGGCTTGAGTTTAGGATTTCTCCGAGTACCGCCTTTTCCCTTTTTAAATCCAGGTTGGTTAGACAAATTCGTACCAAAATTATCCGTGACAGCCGAAGAAGATCCCAAAAGAGACGCCTTCAAGACCAATTCGTGTCAACTTGAATGCTCTCCAAAAAATCCTCCCAAGATTCATTATAATTTCCAAACTTTCTGGTATCTGACCCGAGATTTGCACTCGAAGGTCCCTTTGATTTTCGTCGAGATCGATTTACCAGAATCCACGGACCATGGCCAACCGGAGGAACCGACGGCGGATGAGTAGCCGGGTGAAAATCACCATTGTTATCCTCCATACGACTAGATCCAGAAAGGAGAGCATCCGTGGTCATCGTGGCGTCTTCACCAACCTTATCAGTTCGATCATCACCAGCCCCCGAATTCATAGAGGGTTAGGCGCATGATGGGAAGACATACAGTCTTCCTGTTTATGACCGAAACATCCACAGTGGAAACAAACCAAATGAATACCTTCATATTGGATTCCAAGACGTTCACCAAGAACAATAAAACTTGTGCAAAGTTGCTTGATAAGATCAATTTCAACACAAATACGAGCAAAATTTCCCATCTCACCAAGCTGAGTATTCAAATTAATTTTAATTGTCCTTCCAAGAAATTCACCTATACCTTTCATACCAACTTCATTAAAAAGCTCCATGGGACAATCCGGAATACGGACCAATAAAGCTGCATGATCAATTGTAGCCTTGGAAACGAGGGCAACATCTAGGGAAATTCGAACTATGTTAACCATCGTTAAGTTATATTGACTTTGGTATAAAAAATTGGTATGTGCATTAAATTTATAAAAAGTTCTTAAGTTATTTATATATTACAATTTGATAAATTTATTTTATTATTTATAATTAGTGTACTTATAAAAATATAAGGTTAAAAAAATATTATTAATAATAAAATATATTTAAAATGAAAATATATCATCAATATTTATCTCATACAACTTATTTCTTTTATTTTTACATTTCATTATTATTAATATATTAATTTAAAATGTGTACGTATTTTAACATTTTTATTTTTAAAATATTACTTTACATATTTTGAGTCTATAAAATTATTTTAAAATATTTGTTTGTTTATTAAAAATTCTTACGATTTTTCAAACTGTTATATATTCAACTTTATAACCAAAATTATTTTACGAATTTAATAATATTTAAATTGCATTATTTCGTACTTCTTTCTAATAAATTTTAGGTTACATTTCATATCTTTAATATATTGATTAAAAAATATATAAGTACTGTAATAATTTTATTTTGAAAATGTTATTTGATCTAATTTGGGTCTATTATTTTTTAAAAAAAGTATTTCATTTGTTTACTAAAAATTCTAAAGAATTTTCAAGATAACATTTTGTTGTATATTAAACATTTTAATTTATACTGATTTAACTTCGTATTATAATTAAAATTATTAAAATTATTAAAAAAATCTTTAAATTATATTATGGAAAATTGAAGGGACAAAAGGTTTATCTATTTCAACAAAATCAATGTGACCTTGTAATGGATCATTACATTATTATTATTTTCTAAAAAAAAGACATTCTAAATACAAGAATACACAAACTATAAAAGAAAAATAGAAAAAAAAAACAGTAAAAAAAATCAAACTTTAGCTATACACTAATATAAAATATGCTCATGCTCAATAGATTCGACACTAACACCAACATGGTTTTGAGATGTTTTTTAGATTGAATAATATTTGAGAGAAATGTTTTTAGAGAACTAAGTGTGTGTGAAAAATTAGTGAAATAAAATATGTTTTAATAGTAGTAGGAGATAAAACGTTACACAACTTTTGAAATTCCATATCAATGGTAAATAAAGAAAAATAATTTTATGTCGTAGAAAACCTTTTTGAAACCTTTTGCATTCTAAACTTCTTTAGATCATATACATTGATAATTAATGATTAACAATTAATTTAATATCTATAATAAATTATTAATGACATAATTTGTAAATTAATAAATTAAGGAAGGGACAAAAATGTTCAAAAATATTTTTTCAATATCTCCATTTTAATATAGTATAGATATAGATATAGATATTTTGGAGTAGAATAATATTGTAATATATAATTTATTAATTCCTCTACAACTCATTAACATATCATACCACATTTTATTGGCTGGTGCATCACCGATTTAACAGTTTGTTATACATTTAAAAAAAAAAAAGTTTAAGAGATTACGACTTTCAATCCCCCACCTAACTTGTTGTACTAAAAGAATACTTTTTTTTTCTTTTGATATCTGTGAGTGTCCGGATTAGCTTACGCTCATCTCAACTAATTTCACGGGACAACCGTCTAATCCTACAACATTTGGTGTTGGTAAACACATAAGAATTACTAATTCTTGGTGGTCAGGGTGATTGTACTAAAAGAATACTAAAATGCAATAAATAATATTTTTCTAATATATTATTCATGTGCATCTAGTTTAATAATTGGACCAAAAGCTTTATAGACAAATTTGTTGAGATTTAATATACTAAGATCTATTTCATATTTAAAATTGGAAAAATGTTTAGTCATGTCATTTGCCCATTTTGTACAACAACCTCCATCTTCAATTTTCCTTTTTTATTTGTAATGCACAATTATGAAATATGTAATAATTAGAAACAAAGGCATACAAAGTTGGAAAGTAAAATGTATTTGAGGTGGTCAACAAGAAATTGTAGTTAAATGATTGTGACATTTTTCTTTATTTTGAATATGTGACTCATTCTTGGTGTTTCTAAATTCAATCAAAACCTTCCATTTCATCTTACTTCCATTGAGAGTATAAATCATAACCACACCCCACAAAAATTTCTCTCTCTTCCCCCTTTGGAAAATGACCACACTCTTGTTGATAATGCAGACCTCTCCAATAAGAAGTTTCGAGAGTCGACTTTCCTCTGCATTTCTACAATGTTATGATTCTGTCCAATGTAGACCAAAGGACGAAGAAGAGACTGTTTGAGTTCGTCTAAGATTAAAAAATAATATAGCTCAACTTTTGCTCATAGTAATGGAGATGACACGATGGATCTTCTTTTATTCTAGCTGACATGAGATCTGGATTGCATTCCCGAGTCAATAATGCAAACGTCTCCGATAAGGGTTTCGAGAGAGAGAGATTTGGATTCCTGTGGATAATGAAGACATCTACCACAAGGTGCCAAAAAACAAGCAAAGGAAAGCAAAAATAAGCCAAAAAAATGGGAGTTGGAAAAACTAGGTTGAAGCACACTTCTAAGGCACCCAATTGGGGGAGTAAAGGACATGTGGACTTGTAGTTGTGGGATGGGATCCCTTGTGGGAGACTCCACTTTTAAAAGTTTTACACATTTTGATTTTCTTCAAAAACAAGAGAAATCCAAAATGGGAAAGCCATC